AGACACCCCATAGACACCCCATAGGAGCCCCCATAGACACCCCATAGACACCCCATAGGAACCCCATAGACACCCCATAGACACCCCATAGGAGCCCCATAGACACCCCATAGGAGCCCCATAGGAGCCCCATAAGAGCCCCATAGACACCCCATAGGCACCCCATAGACACCCCATAGACAACCAACAGACACCCCATAGACACCCCATAGGAGCCCCATAGACACCCCATAGACACCCCATAGGAACCCCATAGACAACCAACAGATACCCCATAGGCACCCCATAGAAATCCCCATAGACAACCAACAGACACCCCATAAGAACCCTATAGGCACCACATAGGAACCCCACAGGAGCCCCATAGGAACCCCATAGGAATCCCATAGAAACCCCATAGGAACCCTATAGGAGCCCCGTAGACACCCCATAGCAATCCCATAGACGATCAAGACACCCCATAGACGCCCCATAGGAACCCCATTGGAGCCCCATAAATACCCCATAGAAATCCCATAGACAACCAACAGACGCCACATAGGAACCCCATAGGAGCCCCATAGAGACCCATAGACACCCCATAGGAATCCCATAGACAACCAATAGACACCCCATAGGAACCCCATAGGAATCCCATAGAAACCCCATAGGAACCCCATAGGAACCCCATATGCACCCCATAGACACCCCATAGGAATCCCATAGGAACCCCATAGGCACCACATAGGAACCCCATAGGAACCCCATAGGAATCCCATAGGAACCCCATAGCAATCCCATAAGCATCCCATAGCAATCCCATAGATACGCCAGAGATAACGACCCCAAATCCTGACCCCATAACTGCTCCTTTAACAACCCCAAATCCCGACCCCATATCCGCCCCTATAACGACCCCATATCCACCCCTATAACAACCCCATATCTGCCCCTATAGCGACCCCATATCCGACCCCATATCTGACCCCAAATCCTGGCCCCATCAGCGCCCCCTTAACAACCCCAAATCCCGACCCCAAATCCAGACCCTATAACCATCCCTATAACGACCTCAAATCATGACCCTAAATCCCGGCCCCATAACCAACCCCATATCCGCCCCTATAACAACTCCATAACCGACCCCATATCCGCCCCTATAACAACTCCATAACCGACTACATATCTGCCCCTATAACGACCCCATATCCGACCCCATATCCACCCCTATAACGACCCCATAACCGACCCCATAACCGCCCCTATAACGACCCCATAACAGACCCCATATCCGCCCCTATAACGACCCCAAATCCCGACCCCATATCCGACTCCATATCCGCCCCTATAACGACCCCATATCCGCCCCTACAACGACCCCATATCCGACCCCATATCCGCCCCTACAACGACCCCATATCCGTCCCTACAACGACCCCATACCCAACCCCATATCCGCCCCTATAACGACCCCATATCCACCCCTGTAACAACCCCATATCCGACCCTGTAACAACCCCATATCCGCCCCTATAACAACCCCATATCCGACCCCATATCCGCCCCTATAACAACCCCATATCCGACCCCATATCCAGCCCTATAAAGACCCCAAATCCCGGCCCCATATCCACCCCTATAACAACCCCATATCCGCCCCTATAACGACCCCATATCCAACCCCATATCCACCCCTATAACAACCCCATATCCGCCCCTACAACGACCCCATATCCAACCCCATATCCACCCCTATAGCAACCCCATATCCGCCCCTATAACGACCCCATATGCAACCCCATTTCCAACCCCATATCTGACCCCATATCCGCCCCTATAACGACCCCATATCCAACCCCATATCCACCCCTATAACAACCCCATATCCGCCCCTATAACGACCCCATATCCGCCCCTACAACGACCCCATATCCGACCCCATATCCGCCCCTATAACAACCCCATATCCACCCCTACAACGACCCCATATCCGACCCCATATCCGCCCCTACAACGACCCCATATCCGACCCCATATCCGCCCCTATAACGACCCCATATCCGCCCCTATAACGACCCCATATCCGACCCCATATCCGCCCCTATAACGACCCCATAACCGACCCCATATCCGCCCCTATAACAACCCCATATCCGCCCCTATAACGACCCCAAATCCCGACCCCATAACTAACCCCATATCCGCCCCTATAACGACCCCATATCCGCCCCTATAACAACCCCATATCCGCCCCTACAACGACCCCATATCCGACCCCATATCCGCCCCTATAACGACCCCAAATCCCAACCCCATATCCAACCCCATATCCGCCCCTATAACAACCCCAAATCCACCCCTACAACGACCCCAAATCCCGACCCCATAACCGACCCCATGTCCGCCCCTATAACGACCCCAAATCCGCCCCTATAACAACCCCATATCCGACCCCATATCCAACCCCATATCCGCCCCTATAACAACCCCATATCCGACCCCATATCCGCCCCTACAACGACCCCATATCCGACCCCATATCTGCCCCTATAACAACCCCATATCCACCCCTACAACGACCCCATATCCACCCCTATAAAGACCCCATATCCAACCCCATATCCGACCCCATATCCGCCCCTATAGCAACCCCATATCCGCCCCTATAACGACCCCATATCCAACCCCATTTCCAACCCCATATCTGACCCCATATCCGCCCCTATAACAACCCCATAACCGACCCCATATCCGCCCCTGTAACAACCCCATATCCGCCCCTACAATGACCCCATATCCGACCCTACAACGACCCCATATCCGACCCCATATCCGCCCCTACAACGACCCCATATCCGCCCCTATAAAGACCCCATATCCAACCCCATATCCGCCCCTATAACAGCCCCATATCCGCCCCTATAACGACTCCCAGCCCCGCCCCCAGCCCCGCCCCCAGCCCCGCCCCTCACGCCTTGCCCCGCCCCCAGCTGCTCCGCCCCCACTGGCGCTTCACGTTCCACATCAACATCCTGGCCAGGGAGACGCTGCTGAACCCGGGGGGGGTCATCGACCAGGTGCTCTTAATTAAGACCTTAATTAGCTCATCAATTAACCGGGCCGTAATGACGGAATGGGGCCGTAATGAAGGAATGGGAGGTGGTAATTAATTGGGGGTTGTTAATTGGGGGGGATTAATGGGGGGGAAAATGGGGGCCATATGGGGCCATGTGGGATATGGGGTTGTATGGGACATGGGATATGGGGCCATATGGGATATGGGGCCATATGGGATATGGGGCCACATGGGGATATGGGGATATGGGTCCATATAGGATATGCCATATGGGGCTATGTGGGATATGGGGCCATATGGGATATGGGGCTGTATGGGATATGGGATATGGGGCCACATGGGATATGGGGCCATGTGGGATATGGGGCCATATGGGATATGGGGCTGTATGGGATATGGGATATGGGGCCACATGGGATATGGGGCCATATGGGATATGGGGCCATGTGGGATATGGGGCCATATGGGATATGGGGCCACATGGGATATGGGGCCATATGGGATATGGGGCCATGTGGGATATGGGGCCATATGGGATATGGGGCTGTATGGGATATGGGATATGGGGCCACATGGGATATGGGGCCATATGGGATATGGGGCCACATGGGATATGGGGCCATATGGGATATGGGGCCATGTGGGATATGGGGCCATATGGGATATGGGGCTGTATGGGATATGGGATATGGGGCCACATGGGATATGGGGCCATATGGGATATGGGGCCATGTGGGATATGGGGCCACATGGGATATGGGGCCATATGGGATATGGGGCCATGTGGGATATGGGGCCATGTGGGATATGGGGCTGTATGGGATATGGGATATGGGGCCACATGGGATATGGGGCCATATGGGATATGGGGCCATATGGGATATGGGGCCATGTGGGATATGGGGCCATGTGGGATATGGGGCTGTATGGGATATGGGATATGGGGTCACATGGGATATGGGGCCATATGGGATATGGGGCCACATGGGATATGGGGCCATATGGGATATGGGGCCATGTGGGATATGGGGCCATATGGGATATGGGGCTGTATGGGATATGGGGCTGTATGGGATATGGGATATGGGGTCACATGGGATATGGGGCCATATGGGATATGGGGCCACATGGGATATGGGGCCATATGGGATATGGGGCCATGTGGGATATGGGGCCACATGGGATATGGGGCTGTATGGGATATGGGGCTGTATGGGATATGGGATATGGGGTCACATGGGATATGGGGCCATATGGGATATGGGGCCACATGGGATATGGGGCCATATGGGATATGGGGCCATGTGGGATATGGGGCCATATGGGATATGGGGCCATGTGGGATATGGGGCCATGTGGGATATGGGGCTGTATGGGATATGGGATATGGGGTCACATGGGATATGGGGCCATATGGGATATGGGGCCATATGGGATATGGGGCCATGTGGGATATGGGGCCATGTGGGATATGGGGCTGTATGGGATATGGGATATGGGGTCACATGGGATATGGGGCCATATGGGATATGGGGCCACATGGGATATGGGGCCATATGGGATATGGGGCCATATGGGATATGGGGCCATATGGGATATGGGGCTGTATGGGATATGGGGCTGTATGGGATATGGGATATGGGGTCACATGGGATATGGGGCCATATGGGATATGGGGCCACATGGGATATGGGGCCATATGGGATATGGGGCCATGTGGGATATGGGGCCATATGGGATATGGGGCTGTATGGGATATGGGGCTGTATGGGATATGGGATATGGGGTCACATGGGATATGGGGCCATATGGGATATGGGGCCACATGGGATATGGGGCCTTATGGAGATATGGGGATATGGGTCCATATAGGATATGCCATATGGGGCTATGTGGGATATGAGGCCTTATGGGATATGGGGCCGTATGGGACATGGGGCCATATGGGATATGGGGCCTTATGGGGATATGGGGATATGGGGCCATATGGGGTGTGGGGCCACATGGGATATGGGGCCTTATGGGGATATGGGGATATGGGGCCATATGGGGTATGGGGCCTTATGGGACATGGGGCCACATGGGATATGGGGCCTTATGGGGATATGGGGCCATATGGGACATGGGGCCGTATGGGATATGGGGCCTTATGGGGCCATATGGGATATGGGGCCATATGGGATATGGGATATGGAGCCATATGGGATATGGGGCCGTATGGGATATGGGATATGGAGCCATATGGGATATGGGGCCATATGGGATATGGGATATGGAGCCATATGGGATATGGGGCCATATGGGATATGGGATATGGAGCCATATGGGATATGGGGCCACATGGGATATGGGATATGGGGCCATATGGGATACGGGGCCATATGGGATATGGGATATGGGGCCATATGGGATACGGGGCCATATGGGATATGGGATATGGGGCCACATGGGATATGGGGCCATATGGGATATGGGATATGGGGCCATATGGGATACGGGGCCATATGGGATACGGGGCCGTATGGGATATGGGGCCGTATGGGATATGGGGCCACATGGGATATGGGGCCATATGGGATACAGGATGTGGGATATGGGGCCATATGGGATACGGGGCCATATGGGATACTGGATGTGGGATATGGAGCCACATGGGATATGGGGCCGTATGGGATACAGGATGTGGGGTATGGGGCCATATGGGATATGGGGCCACATGGGATATGGGCCATATGGGATATGGGGTCACATGGGATATGGGGCCACATGGGATATGGGGCCACATGGGATACGGGGCCGTATGGGATATGGGGCCATATGGGGATATGGGGCCACATGGGATATGGGGCCATATGGGATACGGGGCCGTATGGGATATGGGGCCATAGGGGGATATGGGGCCATATGGGATATGGGGCCATATGGGATATGGGGCCATATGGGATATGGGGCCACATGGGATATGGGGCCACATGGGATATGGGGCCGTATGGGATATGGGGCCATATGGGATATGGGGCCACATGGGATATGGGGCCACATGGGATACGGGGCCATATGGGATATGGGGCCATATGGGATATGGGGCCACATGGGATATGGGGCCATATGGGATATGGGGCCACATGGGATATGGGGCCATATGGGATATGGGGCCATATGGGATATGGGGCCACATGGGATATGGGGCCATATGGGATACAGGGCCACATGGGATATGGGGCCATATGGGATATGGGGCCATATGGGATATGGGGCCATATGGGATATGGGGCCATATGGGATATGGGGCCACATGGGATATGGGGCCACATGGGATATGGGGCCATATGGGATACAGGGCCACATGGGATATGGGCCATATGGGATATGGGGCCATATGGGATATGGGGCCATATGGGATATGGGGCCATATGGGATATGGGGCCGTATGGGATATAGGGCCATATGGGATATGGGGCCGCATGGGATACGGGGCCGTATGGGATATGGGGCCATATGGGATATGGGGCCATATGGGATATGGGCCATATGGGATATGGGGCCATATGGGATATGGGGCCATATGGGATACGGGGCCGTATGGGGTCGCCCCGTTGCCCCCAGGCCACGTCCATCGGCCGTTCCGGGACGCTGCAACTTGTGGGGCGGGCGCTGGCGGCCACCACCTACACGGAGCTCTGCGTCCCCGACGACATCGCGGAGCGCGGCCTCACCGGCGTCCCCAATTACCACTATGGGGCCGACGCCATGGACATCTGGGGGGCCATACACAGGTAGGGGGGCCCGACCCCCATGGGGGCCCCGTAGGACATCTGTGGCCCCATAGGACATCCATGGCCCCATTGAGTGCCCCATAGGGCATCCATGGCCCCGTAGGACATCCATTACCCTATAGGACATCCATGACCCCATAGGACATCCGTGGCCCCATAGGACATCCATGGCCCTATAGGACATCTATGGCCCCATTGAGTGCCCCATAGGGCATCCATGGCCCCGTAGGACATCCATGGCCCCACTGAGTGCCCCATAGGGCATCCATGGCCCCGTAGGACATCCGTGGCCCCATTGGTGGCCCCATAGGACATCCATGGCCCCATAGGACATCCATGACCCCATAGGACATCCATGGCCCCATTGAGTGCCCCATAGGGCATCCATGGCCCCATAGGACATCCATGGCCCTATAGGACATCCATGGCCCCATAGGACATCCATGGCCCTATAGGACATCCATGGCCCCATAGGGCATCCATGGCCCCATTGAGTGCCCAATAGGACATCCATGACCCCATAGGACATCCATGGCCCCGTAGGACATCCATGACCCCATAAGACATCCATGGCCCCATAGGACATCCATGACCCCTTAGGATATCCATGGCCCCTTAGAGTGCCCCATAGGACATCCCTGGCCCTATAGGACATCCATGACCCCATAAGACATCCATGACCCCATAGGACATCCATGGCCCTATAGGACATCCATGACCCCATAGGACATCCATGGCCCAATAGGACATCCCTGGCCCTATAGAACATCCATGACCCCATAGGGCATCCATGGCCCCATAGGACATCCCTGGCCCCATAGGACATCCATGACCCCATAGGACATCCATGGCCCTATAGGACATCCATGGCCCTATAGGACATCCATGGCCCTATAGCCCACTGGGGGGCCACAAAGGACATCCATGGCTCCACGTCCCATTGATGTCCCCACACCGTCCACTGTCCCCACACCCCACTGATTTCCCCACACCCCATTGCTGTCCCCACACCCCACTGATGTCCCCATATCCCACTGATGTCCCCATATCCCATCATTGTCCCCATACCCCACTGATGTCCCCACACCCCACTGTTGTCCCCATATCCCACTGATGTCCCCATATCCCATCATTGTCCCCACACCCCACTGATGTCCCCACACCCCACTGATGTCCCCATATCCCATCATTGTCCCCACACCCCACTGATGTCCCCATATCCCATCATTGTCCCCACACCCCACTGATGTCCCCATATCCCATCATTGTCCCCACACCCCACTGATGTCCCCATTTCCCATCCCTGTCCCCACACCCCACTGCTGTCCCCACACCCCACTGATGTCCCCATTCCCCACTGATGTCCCCATATCCCATCCCTGTCCCCACACCCCACTGCTGTCCCCACACCCCACTGATGTCCCCACACCTCACTGATGTCCCCATATCCCTCTGATGTCCCCATATCCCATCCCTGTCCCCACACCCCACTGATGTCCCCATATCCAACTGATGTCCCCATATCCCATCCCTGTCCCCACACCCCATTGATGTCCCCACACCCCACTGCTGTCCCCACAGCTTCGTGGAGGGCATCGTGGCCCTTTATTACCCCACGGATGCTGACGTGGCCGACGACCCCGAACTGCAGCAGTGGGTTGGGGAGATCTTCATCTATGGGGTGCTGGGCAACGAGAAGTCCGGTATGGGGTGGGATTTGGGGGGGGGGGGGGGTGTTGGTTGTGGTGATGGTCGTGGTTATGGTGATGGTGATGGTGATGGTGATGGTTATGGTTATGGTTATGGTTATGGTTATGGTTATGGGGATGGGGATGGGGATGATTATGGTTACAGTCGTGGTCATGGTCATGGTTATGGTCATGGTTATGGGGATGGTGATGGTTATGGGGATGGTCATGGTTATGGTGAAGGTCATGGTTATGATGATGGTCATGGTTATGGTGATGGTTATGGTCATGGTTATGGTTATGGTGATGGTTATGGTTATGGGGATGGTCATGGGGATGATTATGGTTACAGTCGTGGTCATGGTTATGGTTATGGTTATGGTTATGGTTATGGTTATGGTTATGGTGATGGTTATGGGGATGGTGATGGGAATGGGGATGGTCATGGTCATGGTTACAGTTGTGATCACAGTCATGGTTATAGTCATGGTTATGGTTACGGTTATGGTCATGGGGATGGGGAATATTATGGTTACGGTTGTGGTCATGATCATGGTTATGGTCATGGTTATGGTCATGGTCATGGTTATGGTGATGGTTGTGGTTGTGGTCATGATCATGGTTATGGTCATGGTCATGGTCAGGATTATGGTTACAGTCATGGTCATGGTTATGGGGATGGTCATGGGGATGGGGATGGGGATGGTTATGCTGATGGTCATGGTCATGGTTGTGGTGATCATCGTGGTTATGGTTATGGGGATGGTGATGGTGATGGTTATGGTTATGTTTATGGTTACAGTCACGGTCATGGTCATGGTGATCATCATGGTTATGGGGATGGTTATGGTTATGCTGATGGTTATGGGGATGGTGATGGTTATGGTTATGGGGATGGTGATGGTGATGGTTATGGGGATGGTGATGGTGATGGGGATGGTGATGGTGATGGTTATGGTTACAGTCGTGGTCATGGTGATGGTGATCATCATGGTTATGGGGATGGTGATGGTTGTGCTGATGGTTCTGGTCGTGGTCACGGTCATGGTGATGGTTAAGGTCAGGATAATGATGATGGTGATGACGATGATGATGACGATGATGACGATGATGGTGATAGTAAAGGTCAGGATAACGATGATGGTGATGATGGTGATGGTGATGATGGTGATGGTGATGGTTAAGGTCACGATAACGATGATGGTGATGATGGTGATGGCTAAGGTCAGGATAACGATGATGATGATGATGATGATGATGATGCTGGTGATGGTTTGGCTGTGGTTAAGGTCAGGATTATGATGATGGTGATGGTTAAGGTCAGGATAACGATGATAATGATGGTGATGCTGATGATGGTGACAGTTTGGCCGTGGTTAAGGTCAGGATCACGATGGTGATGATGATGATGATGATGATGATGGTGATGATGATGATGATGGTTAAGGTCAGGATAACGATGGTGACGATGATGATGATGA